TGATTTCTAGAACTAAGTCTGTTTGTTAGCTAAACATCAATTTCTTTATCCTGCATTGGAACTAAACACTCAAGTAATAACTTTCATCACCCCACTACAAAACCATTCGAAAGCACATCTCGTAGGACGGTGACTTAAGTATGTCACGTTCACTTCCCTCAGGTTCACGGTCACAGAGTCGCTTAAAATAGTGGCAAGACAATGAATCAATCACAATGCACTTGAGAACTCGGCTGGGTTGCTCCGGGGATCACATAATTTTGGCGTAGAATAGTGTGCAGGCTATCGCGTTTATTTTTAGACTGCGTACTGTGGGCTACGTTTCGCAGGAGCACATTTGAGATGTGCCGTCTTATTAATATTATTGTACCGCCGAACTCGCTACGAGTGTCGTCATCGCTTGGGTTATCCCAAAGAGCGATTTATAGGTTAGATTGCCACTATTGAATATCCTATTACGTTTAGTTAAAGCGCGTGGACTTTGGCATGGCATAGTAGATGTTTTACGGTGCTTTTGATACTATAAATGACAATTACCTGCGAGGACCTTGTTTTGATACTATATTTGACTAGTGGTTGTTTCTGACTTCTTTTATTTCAAGTTTGTGGGTGCTTTTCGTAATAGAACATTAAACAATTTTGGGCGGCACTGCACGACCGTGCTCTATGGACGAACCACGCGTGCATGCAAGCCACGTACTCACACTCTCATACATAGATCGTTACACACAAAGAAACATATACACACAAAAACACATACACATGTATACATAGACACATTACATTCGCTCAGAAACACGCAGACACTCGCACACTATGCCAAAATACGAATTGAGTGAAATATTTTTTAAAAGAACTGATTTTCCCGCGATTTCAGTCCTGGTAACATAATGATATACTGTGGCAAGAAATTTTATCCACACGCTGGCACAGAAATTGGACAACATTCGGCGTCTAAGTACGATTTTTTCTCTTTCTGTCTGTTTCTATATCTCCATTATATTTCTCTCTTTTTCTTTCCATCATATAGAGTCATTTCTCTCTAGCCAGCCAGACATTCTGGCTTCAAGCTTGCCAGCACAGAGAAATTGAGACAACCCGCGAAACGTTCAGGTTTTTTGTTTGTTTTGTGTTTTTGTTTGGGTTTTTTTTCCTGTTTCATCAGACAATTTACGTTTTCAGCCCAAACATCTTCATATTTTTTCTAGCGTTGTTGGCTTTTCATGCACCTTAAAATTTTAAAAAAAGAAAAGGATTTTTAGAAAAGATTTTAAAATGTTTTTCTTTTTAAATATTTGCGAATAGTTTGGCTCGTCTCTGATGCGTGTCTGGTCGACCTTGACCTTTAAGCTCACTCAAGGAAAGGTGACGCCACTGTGCGATCGTTTCAATTTGGTTTCCTTGTCTCCGTCCTGATCTCAACGTGATGGAAGAATACAGAGCCGGTTGAGGAGATGATCGATGGCGGGGAATGAGTCAGAAATTAAGTTCTTCGGTTTTTGCTGCCTGTTTGATCGTGCTATGTGTCTTCCTATCTATTTGTTTGTCGTTATTTTTCTCTCCATATGTGCCTGTCGGTTCGCGGTTGCCTTATGTCTATCTATCTATCTATCTATCTATCCATCTATCTATCTATCTATCTATCTATCTATCTATCTATCTATCT